ATTCTCTTACTCTCTCTCTTTCTAAGCTCCTCCCTGACGCACTCAAGCTGGGGACACAGACGAGGTTTCTTACTCACACACACACACACACACACACTCCCGAGCAACCGCCATGGTCCAGTTCAGAGCGGATCAGGAAGGCTGAGGAACCCCGTCTGTCCCTCAGGGGAACGAAGGGGACTTGAGAGAAGAGAATCACGCCATACTGTCACACAAACACCAAGACCCAGACACAATCTGCATCTGAAAACAGTGAAATTGTGCTATTCTACTTCATTTACCAGGTTTATGCATTTCAGTCAAATCTGGGTTAAACATTGTTATTGAATCAAATATCGCTTCATAGGAATTGTGAGCGTTCATTAGTGACTTCATATGCACATTCCTGACTAAGCAATTACACCTCATTAGCATTGTACTCACACATTAAAAACATCTCTAACAAACTGTACACGACACAGTCTGTCAGTTACCATTGCATTATATATATATATATATATATATTGTTGTATTTAGGTCGCATTAGAATGACTTGAAAACTTCATCACATCCTCATAATTTATCTTTTTTGTGAGTTTCAAATGCCTTTTATGTAAACATTGTGTAAATTTCCACAGATTCTGACTTTAATCTTAAAATATGAAAATTTTCATGAATTAATATTAAATGGGAATTGAATTTTTGGAAAAAGTATCCTAAGTATAGAACATTTGAATATTTTTGAATAGTTTATTTATTTATTAATATTTTATTTCAGCTCTATTTCAATTGATGGGACATGTATGACGAGCAGGATTGGCATGTGACTAATACATACACTTATAATCTGTTTTGGCATAAAACAGTAACTCCAGCTTGTTGCAAACATCTGGATCATCACATGAACACATTCTCAAAAGAGCTCATGCTGAGCAGTTTCAGCAATCATTGTTGTTGGCTGAAAGAATATGAAGACAAACCACAAAGCAGCTGTATTTCAGAGATCCCATCAGTCCTAGTGTATTTAACTGACCTTGATTAACTAAGACTGGTTTCAGAGAGGACAGCTAAAATAAGAGACGGTCTTTGAAGTGCTGCTAATAAACACGTGGATTAAATCCAGTCAGAAAATACAGCATGGACAGATAAACACTTCCACAGAAGTATGTGCACTTGAACTTCAAGAGAAACCACTGTTTGCTCTTTGATCAGATCATCTGACATTAGAAACAGTTGTGGCTAATGAGTGTGAGTAGTTATTGCATCATAAGGTAATACAATGGGTCAGGTAAACTGAGATAGCGATGTGACAGTAATCACTAAATGAATCTAAGTGACGTCTCTAGTATATACAATACTGGCATGATATCTCTGGACAAAGATATGCAAGTTTACTCACAGAGATATTTAAATCTACCTGCGTAATACTGGCAAAGAGATAAAGGAGTGTCTTGCTATTGTTCTGGGACAAATATTATTATAAAATGGATGGTAAAAAAAAATCTCAGTGTAGAGATCAAGACAGGTTTGTCATAATTAGCAGCAGGTGGCCAGATTTGTTTTCCAGTTTAAACTGGCAGATTATTCAGATTCATTTATGGATATGCAAAATGTAGGTGTAATCCATGTGGAATTTACATTTGTCATGTATTATGTATTGAAATTGAGGAGAGAAAAGCTTAACATGGTTTGATATGAAGCCAACTATTTGTGAATTTACGTAAAATATCATTTAGACTGCTGTGAATTTGTGCATTTCATACTTATTAGATCCTCAGTCAACCTGATAGCTTCTGACCTGTAATTTCATCAATGACCGACTGGGGGCGCTGTCGGCTCGAGAGCACAGTCGCGTCTGATGAAGTGGTTCAGCACACACTCTATACAAGTCACAAATGTTACATTTTCAACTTTAACATTTGGGGGTGGGTGGACCAACTGAAGCATTCCACTTATGAGCTGAAGCGAATTTTCCCAATACCGAGAGCTTCACCAGCGACAATATGAGCACTGAGCAGTGGGCTTTTTTAAATATAGGCTAACCTAATGTTATCAGTATAATAGTGAATATTTCTCAAGGTAGAGAAGTTCTCTACATGACTTATTAAGCATAAAAATACACACAGACTGCATACAAATTCACCTGGTTTGACTTGGGCGTGTTTTCACACAACTGTCAAACACATCCCTTTATTAATCAGGAAAATTTAATCCATAAAACAGCTATGATGACAAACAAAACAGTGAATGAAACAGCAAAAATGTAAAACGTCATTGTTTATAAACGTTTTGAAAATATTTGACAATTTTGACATATTAAATGTAGGCCTATGCCAGAGTAGTTTTATTGTGTTCTCGTTTATTTTACACATAGGCCTATAGATTTTTTTTACTCCAATTCTGTAAATTAGGTGTTTGAAACCTAAACATAGTGCTGTCAAACGATTAACCACGATTAATCGCGTCCAAAATAAAAGTTTTTGTTTACATAGTATATGAGTGTGTACTGCTTATATTTATGTATATATAAACACACACACATGCATGTATATATTTATGAAAAATATGTTACGTTTATGTATTAAATATATTCATATATAATATAAATTATAATAATATAAATATATACATGTAAATATTTTCAAAATATATACTGTATGTGTGTGTGTATTTATTTATATATACATAATAAATAAACACAGCACACACACATATATTATGTAAACAAAAACTTTTATTTTGGATGCGATTAATCGCGATTAATCGTTTGACAGCCCTACTTATATTAAACATATTTGTTTGATATTTGAAACTTCAAACTTCCCAGTTTGACAACTAATCTCAGTCTCCTTTATATACAGGGATATTCAGCTCAAGTGGTAGTCTTTAAAGATTGTATATAAATCTATCTTGAGAACCTTTTATAAAGCCAACACACTCTCATGGCAATTCATATCTATTTTACGTTTTAGAGAATTGGCCTCACTGTGTTAGATTTAGTGGTTGGACCATCATGCTTTTACTTTTTTTTTTTGTATGTTTCTGTGCGAATGCTCATGAATTTTTTAATTATAGGGGCTGAATTTGGTTTTGTGAGATGTTATGAAATTTAACAGCTTATAAAAATGTCGAATGCCACAGTACATAACACAGCTTCAGCTACGAGCTTACATCTTTCCGTAGTATTTTCTTAACAGGTAAGCATCTGTGAAAAGTAAGTGAAGCTCTCTTTGGAGAGCGCTATTATATAGTATGTTTAGTCAGTCCAGAGTGGTTAATAGGATCAGCCTCTCCTCTCATTTCAGATATAATGTTGCAGCCATTGTTGCCACATATTACATCAAATCACAGTTTCTTTTAATGTGAAATAACTAAATGTCAAACAGCAGTTACGAATGTTGCTTTTAATGTCTATTCTGACATGCCAAGAGTTATTTTTTCATAATCGAATGCAATATTTTCCACATATATAGTCAAAAGAACAAAGAGAAGAGTTCAGAAATGTAAAGATTGGAGTAAAAAGAGGTGTGGACACAATTCTAATTGAATTATGTGAGTGGGAGTTAAATGGTGGATAATTATGATGTGAGCAACTTACAAAAGACACAATTAAAATTTTCAGTGCCAACAATACTTAAAACAAGTCACCATTCATTGTACTCAACATGGCCTACTGCCAAAATAATAACAATACTGCAAATCGGCATTATCAAAACCTTTTCACATGACATCGCATTTCCCTCCATTTAAATACCCTTTGAAAAACATACATGGTAGAAAGTAATTAACAATACAACATTTCCATAAGTACATTAATACCACATGACCAAATGTTCTCATTGGACATTTGAGTAGCCCTCACTGGTTTGATCCTGAGATCACTGTCATTAAGGCAGCATTCATTTCATTCAGACTACAGCAGATGTGTAGATGGCAAATAGCAGCTTACAAACAGAGGTGGACATAGTTCATAGAGTCTAACATTATAGAAAGATGCCAGTGTTTCCACAGCCCCCTATTCAACTTCTCTTCTTTCACTGAAACTTCTTATATTGAAAGTTCACAATCCCATGACAAACAAGCGGACTGATGTGTTTTAATGTTTCTTTTTAAATTATTACGTTTTTTTTTTTTCCGTGGCAACAGTGCACTGTTTGTAAGCATGCAGTTCATGTTGCGCTTTCTTCAGTATTTATCCCATGACCCATATATTTATAATAAATATGCTGCACTATATTACACAGCTAAAAGTACATATTAACAGATGCATTGGCACTCAGAAAATGAAGGAAAACAGTAAGTACAGAATTGTTTCATTAAAAATCAGCCCTTTCCGCTGGTTGGAATTGATGAATACGATAACATAGGGACATTAGCTACTTTTACAAACTTTAGTAGATCATTTTCATTCTTAAAAAGGTATAACTGGGTAATGTCCTTTGCTTTTTCAGTGTGTTCAGCCACCAAAAGCTGCTTTTACCTGACCTCTATGGTACAGTAGAATCAACATGGGGAAATTGTTTCACTGTTTGGCTTAAACCATCAGTGTGGGTCAGTGATGGAGGGCATGTTTGAGAACAATTCGGGCACTTGCTTTCAAAGGACAAAAAAAAAAACAGGGGGCACAGAGACAGTAAGATTAGAAAATACATTTTAGGGAGGAACACTGTGAGAAGATAGAGGTAGTATACTTGAATGTTACTGTACCGTTGATGTAAAACAAATCTTGACAACAGAAGAGAAATGTTAGAAGGAGAAAACAGCCTTTGGCAATCATAAGGGAAAGAAATAATGTTTTACTTATAAACCACAGTGTAAAATAAAGACTGAAGGCTTGCGGCTAGTTTCTTTCTTTCATTTTTTTTTTTTTTACAGAAAAATGGGCTGTTGGTTCATTAAATAATGTCACAACTCTCAACAAAAACAGTACAAGTACAGCTCAGTCATCAAATGCGCATTTTCACCACACTGCGTCAGGCGAATTGCACTATAATTGTGGAAAAAGTTTTGATTCCGCCCTTCATTACACTTTAATTAGTTGTCCAACCTGAACTCCAACAACGGCACTGCTAAGCAACCTCGTTTTCTAAATCATGTGAAAAATAGCAGCGCTCTCGCACAGTGTCGTGGCTTATTTAAGCATCCGATAAAGACAAAATCCAAAAAGGTTGGCCATGGTAAGTCATCAAAAAAGGACTGTTCACTCTCAAATGTATTTTAGCATTTAAAATGTTTAAAAATATTTAAGAGAAAATATACAGCCTCTCTGTTTTTGGTCTGTGCACTGACATATGACAATGCGCAGTGTAATGTCTTTCTCTGTTCTGTTTCTCAGGCTCGTCTCCAAAGCCATCTTTACACAACAGCTGATTCTGTCTCTTTTGAGCGCAGTAACTGTGAATGCTCTGAGTAACAGTGGCACAGTATGAATATGTGAAGCACGCCACAGTGATTCACCTTTCAAGGCTCTCTCTCTTTGGATATTGGAGCATTAGAGAACGCAAAAGCTCTTCATATGCTTCTCACATACCTCTGTCATTTTTATTAGGAGCACATGGCCCTCGCAGACTCCAAAAATCAACCCGCTGAATTTATGCGAACATTTCAATTGTTATTGCACCTCGTGGCACAAGCCAGCTGTGATAATCAAATGAATTCTTCACACAAAGTGCTTGTCTTCCCCTCTGAAAAACTATTTACATAACGTAATACCAGCCCTTCCCCAGAGAGCGACCTAAACTGGCAGCCTTAAGTGGTGGTGCAGTCTGAGGGCAAAGTGAGCCGAACTGCCCCTCCACCCCCTGTAGAAGCAGAAAAGGCTGCTGAGTTGGGTCCATTGGCCTCCATAGTGAAGAGCTTGCAGGCTCGTGGAGGGACATATTCTGGGGCGGGAACGGTGGCGTTGGCGGCAGTGGCAGGAGCCTCTCTTTCGGGGCTGGAGGCATGAGAGGAGCAGGGCGAGTTAGTGGGACTGAGCTGCACGGCTGTGGTGTCCTGCATCGTGTGTTCGCTGGTCTCAATCTCAAACGCTGCCCCTCCACTCAACCCCCCTCCGCCCCGACCCATGAATCCCAAACCGCCACCTCCTTTGGACCGTCGAGAGCTCTGAGGCGGAGGCAAGCGACTGCAGATGCAGCAAGCCCCGAAGAAGGAGAACGCCACAAGTAGGAGTATAGGTCCGATGATGATTGGGGGATTGCTAGAGGGCACAAGCGTGCTGAAGGCGAAGGCGCCTACTAAGGTGATGTTGATGCCTGCCAACATAATGCACAATCCACATGCACAGCAGAGGGCTGGAGAAGGCAGACCCTGAGGACGGGATTTCCGCTTCTTGCGGGTCTGTGTTTCCTTTTTGGGCACTGATGTGCCAGAACTCTGTTCGCTGCAAACCATATTGGTGAGGGTCACGGTTACAGCGTTGCTGCCACAACCCCACTCACACTTGCCGTGTCCTTATCAGCAAATTGTAGAAAATGACCATTGCTTCTTCATTAGTGCTTGCTTCACTCACTGTGGATGTTACCTGTAGTGCAGAAACAAAGAGTGAGTGTCATACTTTATAGTATAAACTACAGGTATTATCGGAATTTACCATAACAAGCATTACAAGATGCCATTTGGTTGAGTTATTATTAAAGTTGTCCTCTCCAGCAACTGGGGTCAATAATAACAGAGCACATGAAGCCAAAACACCATCAGGGTACCACATTTAACAATAAATTATTTTAATAAACATTAACTTAATCACATAAATTGCAACATCAATTCTCCACTGATAATAGGATAAGAGGAAACAAATCTATTAAATAAAATCTAAACAAATGTGATTGCTTCCACTGGGAATTCTGGGAATGCCCCATACTTTTTACTTATAAAAAATATTATAGAATAATATTTTGTGTATGTGTGTATGTATGTGTGAATAGATAGATAGATAGATAGACACCAAGGTCACATTTTAGCCTACTTTCTGAAGCAAACTTAAGAAGCTAATCATTTCACACAATACCAGTTTCAATCATATTGTGTCATCAACTGTGTAAAATGAATCAGTAAAAATGCGTAGGTACTAATGGGAGCAATGAGCATCAATGCTGGTTTCACCCCTACCGGATGTGATAACCCATGAGACGCTTAAATGTGGTTAAATACGACCGCTTAATATATAAATATGGTGTGCTTTGAGCCATATGAACACATGCAGTGATTTGGAAATATTGTCAGCGTCTCTTTATTAACAAGAAAAGGTCTTACCGCTTAGTCGACGTTCAGAGGAATTACACAGGCTTGCTTGATGATGGAGGTCTCCGGGTACGTGCGAAACCTGTCGTTTCCTTTAAGTCGAAAACGGCGTCCTAAAAAAATACGATGTCTTTCACGCGGGTTTCGCTGCTCGACTCATATTAAGATCAATACGGCTGTCACTCAATACACGTCAGTCGCGCTCCACGCGCTGGATTCGAGTCTCGGATTCTGAGTGACAGGATTTCTCTCAATAAACGACTATTTTTCTTTAACAAAACCAAATGATACTAAGCATTAAGTGTTGTAATATTTTCCTTTCGTGTTGGCACTTGGCAGTAACAGGTCGCACAGAAGCCCGTCTGTTGATCAGTGCAGTGGTGTGAATGAGCGGGTGGGCATGTGCTAATTGAGTGTGTAGAGGAGGGACCCTCTCTCTAATCTTCAGCTATGTGCACTGTGCACAGCTCCCAGTGCTCAACACCTCTTTATGATAGCAGGCTAAACTACCACTCCAAAAAACCCAGCACATATAGTTAAATCTTTACATATATCACAGCCAAAATATTATATAATAATTAGGCATGTATTTTGCACATATAGTTAAACCTTTACATATATCACAGCCAAAATATTATATAATAATTAGGCATG